GTTCATGCATAACATTAACATACATTTACATGAATTACATTTACATAAATTACATTTACATTAAATTACATTTACATGAATTACATTTACATACATTACATTTACATACATTACATTTGCATACACCCATTTGTAAAGAAATGAACATTTAAACAATTAATGTTCATTGCCAGTCGTAAAGAAGATGCAACATGTGCCTCGACGTTCTTTCAATCATTTGTTTCTTCCTACGCCAACACATCTTACACTCCTACGCTAACACATCTTACACACACACATACTCACACACACATACACACACACATACACACACAAACTCATATGTACTTTTTTGTGGGTATAAGCAAATTTAATGGCATCGTTATTTATAAAAAAATAATACTATTAATATAAATCATACGTACGCATATGCACACACAAATACATACATACACTTACACAAACAAACACTTACACATACAAATGCACACGCATACACTTACACACACAAATACACACATACATTTACACATACAAACACACACACATAAATGTTGGAAGGATACCATATTTTATACAGTGTTGTATGAATTCTACCGAATTGTTGGCCTTAATCAATTTAAAGTTTGTCTTTTCAATTTCCTTTACTAGAATTTTCTGAAAATTTTTCAATTTATAGAAAATAGAATTATCCAAGTTCATCATGAAAATTTAATCAAACTGTTATTATCCGAATTCATCAAGCAGATAGGCCTTATTTCGATTTTTCACAAATCATCTTCAGTCCAGGTTTTATTTATATAGTTTCTTTAATACAAAGCAAAGTTCCGTAGCAAAGTTTATTAGTTGGTGTCGTATTCTTCATCTTTGCTGTTGTCATTCCTTTGTTCTTCATTGTTATTGAAGTCAGTAATACAGCGTCGAGTTGGTAATGATGTAATTGAAATAAATATATATACGCACACACTCACGCACATACATACCCACACACACACACATATATATAATTATGGCTGGAAGGTGGGTGTAACAGTTTATGTGTGTGCATGTGTAGATGTGCGTTGGTGGTTGGAGTGAGTTCCAAAATTTTCAAAAATTAAAAAAAACACATTAGAAAAATAGAAGTGCATTAACTAATTTATGATTATATAAATATCCTGTATGTAAAATGCCTCACAAAAAAAATGATGGTGATGATGATGATGATGGTGGGGATGATGATGGTGGTGGTGATGGTGGTGGTGGCGGTGATGATGATGATAACAAATTAACCGAATAGCCTTTTGTACAACGGAGATTTGTGGGCGTTGCTTGTTCACGACAATGCGATGAAGAGCATCATCCATCACAACAGTGTCCCATTTTAATGTGAAAAAATGAAATGCTTATTGCAAATTTATTAAAAAAGTAGAGAAAATTAATTAAGAAGTCAAGCAAAACGAATATTGAAGCAGTGACTGAAACAAAACTACAGGCATTGTAGGTATATACGGTGTTGGTGTGATGAACATTGTAGAACTGAGCCCCACAACATGTACGTGACATTCCACTACAACAACAACATGGAGAGGTTCATAAGGGAGGACCAGCCAGCACATGACAGGAGATAACGTTATTGTAATTAATGTTTCGCATTCATTGTTGGTGACCTTGACATTGAAGCTTATTGTCTTGTCTTGCACATTCATTCTTAATCATCAAACTGTTCCCAATGGGGCAATAAAACAATTGGAACATCGCATCACAACTGGCCTCACATCACACTACGCCGCATCACATCACATCAGATGACATCACACATTCTAGCTCTTCATTTCATATAGCATTAAATTTCATTACATTACGTTCCATTACATTACATCAAATTGTGGATATCACATTTAGTTACATTTCATTAAATTACATCACAACCTGTCGTATCTTATCACATCTCATTATATCATATCAAATCACATTCCATCACATCACATAGAATCACATTACATTCCATCACATCACATTTCATCACATCACATAGAATCACATCACATAACTTTCAAAGCGGCTAATCATTGAAGCGTTCAATGCGTCTGAATAACGACAAATACATTAATTTACTTCTTACACTTGAGCTTAACATTTAAACTTTCTTCCATTGGGACGTTACAATTATTTATTATTGTCTTTTAATGTTAAACTTGAATTGCTCTGGAAGTTGATTGAATGCTGTAAGAATCACATGATCATATTAATCGCTTCCGAGTTTGAAAACACAATCCAGTCAGAAAGACTGTGAGATGAAAACGAATCGTGAAATATTTTCCAATACGCCAACAACCAAACATCACTAACGTACAGACGTTATTACATTACAAAACATCAAATATTTAATATCATCACACAACAACAACAACACAACAGCACAACATCGCACATCACCAAAAGAACGCACAATATTACAACAACACAACAGGCATAATATAACAACACACAACAACACACAAACAGTAACAACACACAAACAGCAACACACACGGAACCCCACACAAACAACAACAACAAAACACAACAACGATATTCCACCAACCGTAAACTACCACAATCACCATCACCATCATCACAACTGATGATGATGATGATGGCACTGGTGTATGATGGTGATGGTGATGATAATAGTGATGACAATGGTGGTGATGATGATAGGTAGGTGAAACAACATTTTATTGAAAATTGCTACACGAAGACATGGGTGGGTGTTTCAAAAACAAACCTAACCTTAAAAGCCTCGTAAAAATACGTCTCGAATGGGCAATAAGATATTAACATTGGTTTTATTAAACAACAGTTTTATTTGTTTGTTTGTTTGTATGTATGTGTGTGTGTGTGTACGTAGTACGTACGTATGTACGTATGTATGTATGTATGTATATATGTATGTATGTATGTATGTATGTATGTATGTATGTATGTATGTATGTATGTATGTATGTATGTATGTATGTATGTATGTATGTATGTATGTATGTATGTATGTATGTATGTATGTATGTATGTATGTATGTATGTATGTATGTATGTATGTATGTATGTATGTCTATGTTGTTTGCCTGTTTTTTTGTTGTTTTTAGAAATTGTAAATGAATGTTAACAACCAGCCATTACCTGCTTTTGGGAAAGTTTGATCGAGTGTTTCGTAGTCGGCTGTGATGAGGTTGTTGTTTACGTTGTTGTTGTCGTTGCTGCTGTTGCTGTTGCTGCTGTTGTTGTTGACGTAGTTGTTGTTGTTGTCAATGTTGTTGTTGTTAGTGTTGTTGTTTTTGTTAGTGCTGTTGTTGTTTTTGTTGCTAAGGTTGTTTTTGTTGATGTGGTTGTTGTTGTTTTTAATGTTAATATTACTAATAATATTGTTGTTATAGTAACTGTCTTTGAAGTTTTTATTTGTAGTGTCGTAGTTGTTGTTGCTGACGAAGTTGTTGATGAAGTTGTTGCTGATGAAGTTGTTGTTGAGGAGGTTGTTGTTGATGTTCGGGCCGCCATTGTTAATGTAATCAAAATTGATGTTATTGAGGAAGTTGTTGTCTGCTAAGATGTGCAAGTTGCATTTGAATTTTTGATAGTCCTGAGGAGTGCAATGATATCCATCCACTCCTCCATCTATCGTCTCATTTTGATCCATCGTCCCGAATGAAAGACATTCACGTCTGTGTGAGTTTCAGCGGAGTAATCTATATGACTAGTTGTTGTTTATGTTGTTGTTATTATTCCTTGTTGTTGCTATCTATGTTACTGTTGTTGGTGTTGTGTTGACGTTTGTGTTTGTGTTGTTGTGGGTTTGTTGTGTGTATCGTTGTTTGTGTTGTTGTGGGTGTTGTTGCTAATGTTTGGGTTGCTTTCGAAAGCACTTGTTTCACATTAACTGATCCTAATTTCATTTAAGCTGCCTTTGATATTCCTCCCTAATCTTCTTACATCGGCACTTGATCATTCCAAACTACCTTGCTATTGTTATATGTTATGTTTACCGTGTTGTTGTTGTTGTTGTTGTTGTTGTTGTTGCTGCTGTTGTGTGGTGGTGGATGTTGTTGTTGTTTTTGCTGCTGCGGTTGTGTTGGTGGATGTTGTTGTGGATGTTGTTGTTGTTGTTGCTAATGTTAATGTCGTTGTAATGACTGATGAGTTTTGTTGTTGTTAATGTTACCTAACCATAATCGGTAGAAATATTTTGTAATATTATCCTAAAAGCAGTTTTATGAATGGACGTGGCACACTCCAGTCTTGCTATCTTGCTCACTGCCTCATAATTACGTTGAAAATTTTGTATTTGTTTTTAAATTATTACAACAAAAGACGGCCCACAAAATTTTCAAAAAATTCTCACCGATTATTATTAACTCGTGCTAAAATATTAAGTCGATAATAACAAAGTACTTCAAAAAGGATTTAAAGGATCGATTGATGATGGTAAATAAATTCTCATAACAATTACATGTGCAGGTCAGGTCTGAAGGATACACAAACCTCGCATTTAAGCATTTAAAAGTTGAATAACTTTAGTTGGGTCATTTAAATTTAGGTCACTAAAATGCCGCAAGATGATTGGTTACTCACATAACCAATCAGATCTTGGCTAACATGTTAGTTGATGAATACCTCAATAAACGTTTTCACTGAAATACTATACTGGTATAAAAGTGTCAGATACAATCATTTGCACACACATTGATTGCTTACCACACACGCACATACACACACACATACACACAAACAAACGTGTATATGTGTTTGTGTTGTTGTGATTTGTATTTCAACAGAAGGCCTTTGAAAAGATTTCAAATGGTAATAATAAAAACATGTTTGCTTATTTTTTGGTTTGTTTATGTTTTTCTTCTTATATGTAGAGTATTAACATGTGAACAGTGTAACGGCCGACAGTTGTCAGATTGCTCAGCCTCATGTAAATATCTGACAGTGAATGTGGCGAACTAAACAAGCGACAACTAGATGAATAATAATGGTTATATAATTATTTGTGACGCAACGCGATGCCATCTAGCGTCGGACGAACATTCAACCATGTTTCGTCAGCATTTCTCTGCCATTCAGTCGTTTACAGTTTTTATTATTGGCTTGTAGAAAGACCAAATGTATATTATTTTTATTAAATATATTTTATGAATCTATATGTCATAAATTGGCAAAAAATCAAAATAATTAAAACAAATCAGTTGTTCATGCTATTTATTAATTATTCAATTATTCAATAGGTGAGCGCTGCCGTTTTATGAGATGGAGTGAAGAGTGAAGCAAGATGTCATCCGATCTGGCAATTAATCGTTCCAATCACATTGGAAACTATCAATTAATTCCTCTATCAATTCATTATTGATGGCATTTATTTTAAGATTGCAACGTTCTTTGTTTAACTATCTCCAGTTGTCAGCATTGTTTAGTTAGCTGCCAATCACCTTCCCCGATCCACCCACTTGTAGCAGCATGACAGCGATGAATTTCACATCTGTAACGTTCCTCTCTTCGTCACTCACTCCGCAGAACATGGATTGGAGACAGAACATTCCTGACGCTGATGACAACCGAACAACCCATCCTCCAACTTATTTTTAGAGTCGCACTGCTTATTACGCGGTCATTCGTGGTTCGTCCGCACGTTGCGTTGCATAACTCTCGTTCAGTTCGTTCAAGACCACGCTCAATCATTCAAAATAACTTCCATGGCCTCAAGTTGAAATAGTTTTATGAAATTAAATTTGTATTATTTTACAGACAGTTGCTCCACGATTTATTTTTAAACTTTGCAAACATTCATAAATAATGATTTAATTGAGTTATAATATATGGCAGGAAGTTTTATAGTTATTTTAGAAAGCAAACAAACAACACAATCAAAGATACAAAAATACTGTGAAGCATGGAACGTCAACTTTCTTTGCAAAACCAAAAGCGCAAATACGTAAATCAGGAAAAATATTTTAATGGGAGAGCGATAATTGTTGGATGCCAGTGTGTTAGGGCAGGTTGACTATAATTGAAATATATATTTCCTGAGTATTTATGATGTATTACATCGGATTCATTCTTAAATAATTTCATTTAACTGATTTTTAAATTAAAACAAATTAATCAATTAATTCCAATAATTAACAAACCCCGTTTTAATTCCTTTAAAAAATAAGAAGGTTCCATCGAGCCATCAACCGTGCAGCAGCGTTTATCGGTTGTCACATATTCAAATGAAACATCATCATCATCATCATCAACTCCATTCAAAAAACTTTCATTCTTTATTTCTTGCTCATTCATTCTGATTCTCTCTTTATACTTGTCATTTTAACCGTGCTATAACCTACATGGATCACGATGATCACAAGAGCTCCAATTGAATTATGAATTCATGAAGTTAGAGAGCACGAGAAACTGATGAAGCAATCAAACAGACGTAAAAATAAGTAGTGGTATATTAATTAATCAGAGATTGACGAATTAATAAAAAGCTGAAAAAATAAATGAATTAATAGCGAAATGAATGAAGAATAGATCCATGAATGAGAGAAAGAGAGAGAGAGAGAAAGAGAGAGAGAGAGAAAATGAATAAATTACCAAACCAACACTAACCAGCTATGCGAATAAACGATGGATGGACAGATGGACGGATGGAAAGAATGACGGTTGGCTGCATGGAAGAAGAGATGAATCGATGGATGGTTGAGTGGATGAATTGAACGAAACAACAAGAATAGAGGAGAATGAATTAATGAATAAACAAACGCAACAACCCTAAGTAGCAAAAATAGTGCCCACACGAGTCAAACAAATCATTGCGTTATCAGTCCAACACATGCTCACATATTGTCATTAGTGTTTTATTTATTTAGAAATTTTCTTCCTGCAAATATCTTACTGAACACATTTCATTTTTTAATACTGGAAATAATTGAAAACCATTCAAGTGAAAAGTTTTCAATTATTTTCAATGGTCTCATCTCAGATCCAAGAAATATCTTTTTCTTCAAATAGACTGGATTAATTTGAAAGTTGGAACACTGATGATGAAGCCATCCGCTTCTTCTTTTCAAATCTACATATTGACGTTCAATTGCTTAAAAAAGTAACGCCCAACAGAAATTTAATAAACAATGGAAGTTTATTCACATTGTAGATATTGACGAGTGTGTTCTATATTAATTTATATTATATTAATATTTTTTAGCATATGATAGTACTTAATAAAATTAGCTCCAATGTTTTAGTTTACATTTTTCTAATAATGTAAAACTTGAGATTGAAAGTTGATAAAACACTCTTGAGGGGGGTGACGTAGCAGGGCGTAGCAAGTTATGGGGGAGAAATGGTGGATGGTGCTAGTCAGACGGAGAGGCAGACTTAAAATTTTTGTTAATTAAAATCAACGAAAGCCTGCAACAGCATTTGAAGATGACTACACACGCACTCTCAACAACCACAACAACACTAAATAATATTAATAACAACTAGAATAATAATAATAACAACACACAAATATCATTACAAACAAAATTTAATAAGCTTTTAAAAACGGAGGAATGGAAAAATTTCCGATGAATCCGGCAAAATGAAGCAAAAAGTTCAGACTTTGTTTTATGAATATCAGGAGCTTTCAACCGTCGTGAGTTCATAAATTTCACTTTAAATGAAATTTATCAGCGAGCAGTAGGTAGAAACGTGCCAACAAACATGCCAACAAACATGCTTGCAGTTGATTTCAGACAATCATCTCAACGAGTGTACGGAGTTTTTCATAAAAATTGTGATGTGTTGAATTGAGGCATGTATATTTTTAGCAGCATTTTGATTACATGTTCGTCGGTAAAATAAAAATGTCATTCTCCAAATTTAGAAAGTTTTGTAAGCAGGAGGTGCTCTGCAAATAAAAGTGTCTTCCTATTAAAATAAACCAAGCAACAGATAATGATAACAACGAAACTATTTTAATGAATCTGCAGTTTGCTTCGTTGATGACGTTTGTCGAGAACAAATGTCAGAACGTAGCATAAACAACCATTGGCTGATTTTAAAATTTCATTGGATCCATTAACATTTAAAATTAAAAAGTTGTAAACATCACGTGAGCATTTATTTCGTGTTTGATTGGTCCACAAGGAAGCACTACGTAATCTTGCATACACTTTTCTACTCAATGTGTTCAAAGAGCTTGCGATGAGACAAATATCACTAAATAACACAACACAACAACATCTTACAACCCAACACACTACAACAACATCACACAACACAACAACATCACACATTACGACAAACCAGCACACAACACAACACAATGCTACACAGTACAGCAGAACAAAATTGAATGCATGCCCATTATAGAACTGACCACAAGCAAAATTTTTATTATAAAATTCACAATTTTGCACTAAACGATCAATCATAATAACGCAGTACAACAAAGAACAAAACGACTACCAACCAAAGACACATTTGGTCAACACAGCGTTGTGTAATTAAACGTCTCTCTCTCTCTCTCTCTCTCTCTCTCTCTCTCTCTCTCTCTTCTTCTTCTTCTTTTTTCTATTATTATTATTATATTATTATTATTATTATTATTATTATTATTTTAAACATTTAGATTTGTATAAACAAAAACTTCTTGGGAGCGCTTATTAAAATTCAAAAACAATGTCTCACAAACTTTCACACATCTTTCAACTGAGGCAGGCAGTTGACAGTGCCAGCAAATCACTTCTATCGACTGTTGTTGTTGTTGCTGTGTTGTTGTTGCTGTGTTGTTGACGTTGTTGCTGCTGTGTTGTTGTTGATGTCGTAGAACGTTTATTCTCCACTCGTACACACTCGGATCATAAATGACCCTTGGCAAACACGTCTGAATACCTGACATCAACGAACAATGGAAACGAAGCGGATGGCTGGCAGTCGTCGGGCCCTCACTTCAACCGGTTTCTCCTGGTAAGCACGATAGCAGGACAAAACATCCTCCACATTTATCCATCTCAAATGGTTCATCACATCAGTTGCCGCCCATTTGGTCCTACCACCAACGTGGAAATTGTTTGCGTAGCAACGCAATGACTTGCTGTTACATTTGAATTGTTTGACGTCATCAACCGTTGCAAGCTTCCGATGCAGATGTTTTTAATGGAGTGGCTGAACGTTAAAACCGCGTCCATCATTACATTCGTCATCATCGTTATTGTTATTATTTTTAAAAATCATAAAAACCAACAAATAAAAAATAAACAAACAAACAAATAAACAAACAAACAAACATCAAATGAATAAATGAATGAATAAATGAATGAATAAATAAATAAACGGTTGTCATGTCAATCAACTGTTGACAAACAACTGACCAAAAAACCTACAAAGAAGCAAACACACAAACCAACAAATGACTGATGGAATGAACGAACGAAAGAAACAAATTAGTTAGAAGATGATTGTATGATTGACGAGAACGACGGCTTGTAGAGAAATTCTTTAAGTGTATTGGTCAGCGAATTTTTATAAGTTGATTTCATCAAGTTTTTATTTTATTATTTTCGGAATAGATCATTCTGGATGGGCGGTAGCGCAAATAAAAATTGTATTGATGGTCAATACGTTGTCCAGCAGAACGATTGGTCGAACAGTACTTTGCACGAATAATTTTAAAATGATTTCGAAGTAAGATTGCATTGAAAATACAATACATGATCAACTTCATTCAAAGAAGAAAAACTGGAGAAAGAAAGAAAAAAAAATCAAAGATAGGACATAAGTACAATGTCATTAATAGAAGTCAAATATTTAAAGTTAGTCAAATGTTCTCATCTTGTGAGAGGCTCGAAAAAATGTAAAAAAGTTGAAAAATGATCGGTAAGGTAAAAAATAATTATCAATAAAAAGTTGTACAATGTTAGGTGTTATGCAATGTACATTGTAGATTTGTACACTGTATGTCGTTGTGCACTGTATGTTGTTGTGCTATGAAGATAGTAGTAGCGGTGTTGTGTTGTTTGTACTGTTGGCTGGTACATGTGTTGATTTGTTTGTGTGTAATGAGAAGAGAGTTGTTGACAGTTCTGTTGTAATTAACGTGTTATGCTTTCATATTGTATACACGAATAAAAAACAATGTAAATAGGGAAGTAAATGAATGATCGGATGCGTGCACGGTACCACAATGTCTTGAATGTTATTTCGTCACGAGATTATGTTATTTGCTAAAACCTGAGAAGCAAGCACATGCAACACACATTGTGCAAAGAAGGAGAGTGACACCAAGCAATCAAACACTAGGATAGCAGATTTCTTTGATGATTTCTTTCAACTTATCGTCTTTGTGCTGCTTGCACGGACTCTTTCATTCGTACCAACACAGCCCGGCACGATGATTGGAAGTCTAACATCATTGCAGGCATGCCCGTCCACTCCATAGGGCAGTTGTTCGCTCTTGAAGATGTTTGTAAGACGTGACGGGCTCTTATGCCATTCTCTTTATATCGTGCTGTGATGTCTTGAGGTAGGATGCACACATTGCAAACATCCACAAGCAGCATGCCTA